GGATAAGATAAAAAAAATCAGCTGTCTTAATCTACAATTTTTTTTGAACAGAGGGACAAAAAGGTGAGAGATGAAAGGAGCTCTGTTGCACTTTGAGGATCATCTCCCCTGACTCCCCTGACTTCCCTAGCCTAGTAAGCTGTCATACATGGGTGGAGCATGGCATGATTGATGTGCTCCTTTAACCATGTCTGCACACCTGTCTCTTCTGCTCACATACTGTCTTTTTCATAAAGCACCTGACTAGACATTGTTCAACAGAGCAGTACACAATGACAGACTGATGGAACTGAACACAGGCACATAACTTGTGTTCTTCCAAAACACAGGACGTCTTGCCTCACCCAACTCGTCCTAGCCAAGCCTCCACATTTTTTTCAGAAACTAGTCTATTCATAACATTTTCTCTTAGTCTGCCTTAAGTGTGTTGTCTTTAGGCTTGATGCCAGTGTTTGTTGTAAAACTACACAAAGCCCTTATAACTTTGTTTAAAAGCCGCCCTGCTTCTCAGCCTTGGCTCTTATCTGCTGCTGCTCTACACTTTCCCATGGTGAGCGTTTTCAGCTTTGGGCCTCCCATCCTGCCAGAAGTGTTAGATCTGGTGGGGAGGGCTGTGCGTGGGTGAGGTTATGCTTGCATGTTTGTGAAAACCATGTTCTGAAACTCCTAAATCCAGCCTGACATTTCTCGTGTTTTCACATGAATCAAAGAACATGAATATCTTTTCACGTTCACTCTCGGGGTGGTGTCAAAATAGAGAGTGGCTGCAACATTTTAGGTCAATTAACCAACCTAACCAAGGTGGTGTTGCACATATTTAGTCAGCATGGTCAAAGTTTTAGAGCAACAAACAAGCTTTTGGTACCACTCTCTTTTTTTGAGAGGTCAGACTTGCAGAAATTCTTCTCTCAAAAATGGCATTTTGTATTGACCAAACACAGAAAATGTAAATTTCAGATTTAATTACATCGACTGCATCGATTTATGCAAAGTGCCTCCAGCATTGAATATGCTAGTTTCAACAGATCCCACATATCATACATGATAAAAAATGTTAAAAAGGAAGACTAATTGAAATGCGTGTGTTGAGCTGATCTTCTCTGCAGAGGTTTCTCAAAGACAAACAGTTGCTGCAGGGAGTAAAGCCAGACAGTTGTTTGAAACTTTTTTTTTTTTAAGGATTGCAAACTTAGGCTAAAATACACTTGAACCACAGCACATGTCCTTCAACTATAAAAAAGCAATAATTTGTATCATACTTGGAAACCACCACACATTAATATGAAACTCACACAGCGTAGAAAGGAGAGCTTGTCACTGACAACCACACATTCTTGCTGCGCTGGGGGTTTGAGATTGTGGAAGAGGTCTGCATTCCAACATGAAGCAGATTGGAGTGGAGGCTAGGCAGCGTCTGCGGTGTGGAGCCCACGCCTCAGCTGAACGTTGACTCATGAAGCAGACCCTGGCTGTGCCGTTTGCACCAATTTGCCGCGAACCTCCACGGGACAAATAACTGCCACAGAGCTGTAGCACCCCTGGCACGCTGCCAGCGCTCCCACCGCCACTGCAGCTGAGGTTTAACATCCCTGATTAATTTTTGCAGCTCACCTTCTTTTTTCTTTTTTGCCTCAAAATTTCATGTAACTTTTAGAACTCATTTTCTAAAAAAAAAAGCAGGAATAATAACTCCCAAAATAGCAACAAGGTGAACTCGATCATGTTTGCTCGAAATTTAACTTTAACTGTTTTGCAATTTGAAAGAAAAGGGGTCAACTTAAAAGGTAAAGACTGGGGAAGTTTAAAACAGTAGACGATTAAATGTGGATCCACTGTGTCAAAAAGAGGCATTTACTTCATGAGGTGTGGGGTAGAGGTGAAGGGTACAACAAAAAGACCACCTTCCCAGCTTGGCAGACAGGTTTTAAAACCAGTGGGAGCTTGTGACGCTTCCTTTAGACCGACACAAGCCCGCCAACTGTTCCCCACACAACAGATGACTCTAAATCTGTTAGGATGGACCCCGCTGCCTTCAACACTTCTGACGTCTCGACCTGACCCCCAATAATCAAAGAGTCAGCGAAGCCAGCTGTCTTCACATGGTGACAGAGCTTTCACAGCCGCGGCGAGATCAATAAGATGCTGAGATAAACATGGTTGAGGAGAGTTATACGCGGCGAACCAAATTCATGTAAACATCCTTTTTGCTTCAGTTGTTCGTGGCTGTGAAAAGTAAACTCTGGACAGAGGCATCTATGTGTGGATATGAGGGCCCGCAGCCAGCTTTGTGCGGTCCGCAATGTGCAGTCAGCCAGGCTACTAGACATCGAGCCCTGAGGTTATCTCCTGCTCAAGTGGCGCAGTGTGCCGTCCATTACCTCACTTTACTATCTTCCACATCCAGGGAAAAAAAAGGAAACAAGCTATTCATAGAGCCTCTCAGGGCCTCAGGCTGAGGACTGGGTAAAGGAATCTATTGTGACATATCATGGAGTTTGCAGCAATAGAGCATACAAAACACAACATCTTATTGTGTTTGTGTGGCTGTTTGCAATCCCTAAACAAATGTGAGCGCATATCCGTCTTGCTGACGATGACATCGCTTTGACACAGACAAAACAGATGATACTGTGATTGTGATGCTGTAAGGGAAGCAAGTTTCACACGTTCATAAAAAAAAAGAAAGGGAAAAAAATTTCCTGGAGGGAAATTAACGGTTGCATTTGAATTTGTGCACATTTGTTTAGGATTATGTTTGTTTTGTGGGAAAACTTGAAAGGCCTCTTTGAAATGAAAACCTAATAAACAGTCCTTGTTCTTTATCAACTGGCTGTTGTAGGAAGAAGGAAGTACATTATTTAGTGCTGACATCTTTAATGCAAAGAAAACAATAACATAATAGGGGAAAATTTCAAACCGTAAGCCTGTTTGAAAACACAAAGCAAACAAGATTGATGGCAAATGCATTAGTCCAGGCTTTGGGTAAGAGGCCAAGGCTGGGAGATTGTGGGCTGTACTGTACTTGTAGCTAATGATAAACCAAACAAACTAGGTTAGCTCTTCAGCAGGACAGAGAAAGGACTTGTTGAGACTTGGATTATGCTGACATTTGCTGATGCATAAAATAAACTGGAAAAGCTGGGCATTTAGAATAACATCTCTAAGAACTTGTATTTTTTTAGCTTTGAAGAGAAAAGGTTGCAGATGGAGAATGTAAACAGCTAAAACCATGACTTCCTTCTGTTACTAAAAGCTTTAAGTCCTTATAAATAAAACTTTCATAAATTCATAAAAGTATCAGTATGACAAGCATTTTGTTCTTTACTATAACAAAAAAAAAGTTTTTTAGAACTCTATTATACATCAGATTTATTGCTTGAACTTTCGTCTCTGAACTTTAATGCAGCCTTGAAAATAAATCTCCATTCTTTTTGTTATTTTTTTCTTCTTTTTATGCTTTCTTTTTAGTCGGCAGGGTTCCATTCTGGTTGCTCCGACAACATAATTATATGTAGTTAAGCAAAAGCTACAGAGAGGGGTGAGTGAGAGACACCAGCTCAGACAGGAGGAGAGAGAGGTCTGGAGCAGAGCGGCTTGTCATTACTGGTCTGTTTGAACCTTAGGCAAAATAAGCAGCCAAGACTTGATACTTAGTCAAGGGTACTCTGCACACTGGTCTTCATGTATCTCACCACGTTTCTTGCTTTTTTAACATACATACATACATACATACATACATACATACATACATACATACATACATACATACATACTGTACATACATACATACATACATAAATACACCTTTAAAATTACCTGCATTTACCTTAAAAATATGTATTTTAGATATATGAACAAAAAAAGGCAACCTGATCCCTGTTCTGTGCTGGATTTCTGCAGCTCAACCTCTCACATAATCAGAAACACTTCATAAGTCTTTTAGTTCACAATAAAGACAGGAAGTGTATTAAAAGAGCAACCCCAGTGGAGATATTTCATCTCTTCTGAATGCAGATGCTCCACCAATCCAGCTTAACTCCTTAACTGCACAGCAAGCAATATGCTTCATACACTGGGCAGCCTCTGCCCAGCCCAACAAATCCTTTGCACTTCAGAGCCATTCACACCTATACACAGGCACGCACGCACGCACGCACGCACGCACGCACACGCACACACACAAAACTCTTTCTTCTCCCATCTTGATTAGATTACAGTGAGCGGGTCGGTGACAGCCTCTGGGCATGCTAGAGGAGTGGTGGATATCTGAGCCGTCCTCCTCAGCCCTCACTCCCAGCCAGTCAAGACAGAGAGAGATTATATATCTGAAGAGCTGACCTTACCAACCAAATCACCTAGTAAAGAAGCATGGGAACGACATTGTCAACTAAGGACACAATAAAAGAATAGAGTAGATATGTTTAACATTACACCACAGAATACTCCAAGTGAGTGCAATTATCTGTATTAATGTACCATCAAAGCTTATCTAGTGACCACAGGTATGCTTAAGTCTGCTTTACAAAAACATATTTGCCATTGTACAAGTTTTAAAAAAATGATACTTTAATCTGATACTTCAATAAAATGAGCGTAAAAAGCTCAAGAATGACAGATGACTGAACACAGATTCAATGATTGCATTCCATTCCATATAAACCCTCATTTCTATCTCTCTGACAAAAAGCAGAAGTTGTGCCAAAACAGAAAGAGCTTTGTTCCCATTGTAGCTTCTGACCACCTACCAAGGGTCCTTTAGAGAAGCACTCACCCTGGAATTATCAGACCACCTCTCCCCCAAGGCTCCACAGGCCTACAGAGACCCCTGGGCCAAACACATCCTGCCCATCTCCTGAGAGATTATCCAACTCAATGAACACATTGAGGGCAGGGACACTGGGAGAAACCAGACCCTGCTATTCAGCTTCATCTGAACCCAAACTCTTTATTCACACTCACAGCAGAGAGGAGAATGAAACAGGGAGACATGCTGCACTTACTGGCTACTTCCAATGAGGCGTTGTGGCTCACTGCTTCTCCTAGGTAGTTGCGAGCCACACAGACGTATGAGCCTTCGTCCGGTTTGCTCCGTCGTCCGTGGACGATGCGAAGGAAGAAGAGGGAGCCGCTGGGCAGCAGCATGCGCTGCGAACGAGGATTGTCCCTGTCCGTTTCCACCCGCTCGCCATCCTTGTACCACTCCACGGTTGGTGTTGGTCGGCCCTCTGCCTTACAGTTGAGAGTGGCAGGCTCCCCTTTGGATACAATCAGGTCAGATGGGTGCTCGACAATCTTAGGTGGGGTGTCCTCTTGGCGGAGACGAGATCCTGGGAAGAGGAAGGCAAAAGTTTACATCTGCAGAACTTAAATGGATTCGAATGTTTTTATTGAATAGTTTTGGGGGTTTAAGTATTGAAAGCAAGAACATTTATGAATAAAAAACTAATTTTGAGGGTATTTGTGAATAACTAAAGGTTAACCAGTGAAGAATTTCAATAGTCATTGACAATACTGATCAGAACTCAGGGAAGCCAATAGCTTTTTTTTTTCATTGTTTGCATTTGACCCATAAATAAAACTGGTTTATGTCAAATATTTATACACATTACAATGTGCCAGATGTAAAAAACAACAACAAAGATGACTGACTGATTTAGTTGTGGAGCCAGATGTAGATCAGTACAGTCTTATGGAACAGTTTAATAAATGCTTCCAGTGCATGTAGGAATCAGTTTTTAAAAATTTCTTACCTGATTTCAAAACTGAAAATAAAGATTTGTCAGTTTATTTGGTAGAAATGATTGAGTTAGCAAAATATTACAGTCATATACTTTAAAAACTGCCAGTGTTGTGCCAAAAAACACCCTTTCCATGAAAGGTGCCCAGTTGGAGAACGAGCAATGACAAGTCTAACAACATCGTGCTGCCCACAGATTTGCCTGACTTATATTCAGCTTAGTTTGCTCAGGTGTGACCAATTCTTATTTGTTGTTTGTTTGTTTTAAAAAGGAAAAAGTAGATCGAATTAATCAGCTGCCCAATCCATTAGTTTACCCCTATGGTCGCCACTAAAACATACATTGCCAACTGCATTAATTTTTCGTTTAGCCCCTGAAAAAATTGTACTTGGCACCTTAGAATGAGTGCATCATGGTTACAAGTGCATTCAATTTTCACCCTGAACACAGTTTTAAGAGTAAAATGTGTTCACGAAGACAAAAGGCAAGAATTAAAGACCATAAAAAAAACTGCTTATCAGAACAACATCACCCTTTATTTACAATAACAGCCTCATCTGTTACGCTCAACACTCCTGATGTCATATGATTGTCATTTCTCAGGTCAAAGAACAGAAAGGACAACAAGAAAAAATAAGAATGACACACCTTACAGGCAGAAGGAAATGAAGAGATAAAAGATAAGATATGGGTGTACCTCCAAGCGTTTTTACAAAAACAGGGGCAGGAAAAGGGATCCCACTACTCAAGAAGCCAAATCAGTATTCGCGGCAGGGCAAAAGGAGTTAACACCCGAGTGCTATCTCCGGTCATTACTATCACTCCCTGACAAGTCAGTTGTAACTATCAAACCCGCTTTACATGCAAATGGGTTTCCTGTTGTTAATTCCTGAAGGATGGAACTTGATAGCTGTGAATGCACTGTGCTCCTACACATCCAGTCCGTATGTTCATCAGAGAGAGACAGAGAGCCCTTCCCTCTTCACCGTATCCCCCAGTTTAGGCCTTTGGAACCCATTCAGCACCAATTAAAGAGAGTTGGGTCTAATTGGAGGCACAGGCCTGTAATTAATTTACCCAGCTTCCCGTGAACTTGCCACACTGCCTCATTTATGTGCCATCCACCCCCCCGATTCCTCAGAAAACTGGTGCTGAGACGGCATCTTCAAACTGGTAGCCACGTACTTTGAGTAAAGTCAGCATAATTAGTGACAGCTCTGTGGAGAGATTTATCACTTCAGTGCAAATGTGTAGAGTGGTCAGTGAAATATAATTAATCCAACAGTCCAGTGAAGGACATCATGATTTTAACTTTTAAATTATGCCTAAACTAACAATGATGACAAGTTAAAGTTGGGGAGTTCTTTTTAGATATGTTTGACAATGGCAGTTTTATTTTATTTCTATGTTGGAGCCTCAAAATATGAACAAAATTGACAAACTCTTTTCTTAATTTAACTACTTTATTTGTCAGAAATATTTAAGCAAAATTCTTTGTTCACAATGAATACAGTGATATGCCACAGCCAGTCTGTTTCATTATTTCGTAAAATGTAACACAAACACAAAAAATGCATAAAACTTTCCATATAATTTTGAACGCAATTCTGGTGCTAAATGTCTATTAGCCAGTAAGTGCTTAAAATTTAGTTAAGATATTTCATTGAAACCGAAAAACAAATGGAGAATTATGGAGGAACATATTTAGCCTTCGGTAAGATTAACCAGTTCTTGCGCTGAATAAAATTGATAAAAAATAAAAAATTCAAGCTCCTAGGCTTTTAGAATTGTCTGAAGCCTAACTAGGCTAATTAACCTCCTGCAACCTGCTCTCATCAGAGCCTTTTGAACCTACAGACATGCTAACAAGGCTCAGCCCATTACCGCTGCAACAACTTCTGCCACCGCCGCCCCTCAGAAGACAAGACGGGCTGGAGTTGTTTTATTAAAGAGAACTTTAGAGAGCTCTGCAGCTCGGTCCATACCCTTCCTGATTTAGACAGCTCCTCTCTAATTTGAAATAATTTTAAGTTTGGGGTTTTATGGAGGAACCATTAACTATTCACATGTGGCCCGTCGGGAGGAGAGCCGTGCAATGATCGGCACTGTGTTTGATCACAGACTGTTCCCTGCACGTAATTACACTGGATCTGCATGATGAGCATGAATACTTTCAATACGAGATAAAGTTTCATGTAACAGAGAAGATGGTAAAATGAGCTAGTAAATAAATATCAAGCATATATAGCCAGGTCGCCATAAGCAATCAATCAATTGGATGATAAAAGTAAAATGAGGATGATAATTATTATTATTTGCATGCTTGTTTGTTTTCTTCATGTCGCCCGTGTTTCTGTAAGAAAATTTAGTGTTTGTTAACTGAAATCGTGACGAGATCACATAAATGTTGAATCTGATTAAAATTGTGAAGAGAATGGACCATACAACCCCAGATCTGGTTCTGAGCCAAGCTTTATTGCTTACGGCTAAAGCAAGCAGAGCAGCGCTTCCGAAACCGGAAGTTCCGGTCTATAAATACAAGGATCTTCAGTGCCTGGTACGCCCACTACAGGCCTACGCCCGCATCGCAGACACTCTGAACAGCAATGCTTATCTGATGTTTTTATTAACGGTTTTATCATGTGTTGTCAAGGTGTTTTGGGCATGTAACTAAACCTATTTTAATCAAGACATGATGATAGATTATAAAAGTCAAGCCTTAAAAAGGAAAACTAAGAAAATGATGTGGTGATTTAAAATCAGTATCTAAATGACTAATAAATTCCTTCATTTCTACTCCTGAGCGTATGAAGGAGTGAACTTTCACGTCAGGTTTTTGTCAGGTGCATGGTTTCATAACCTCTGTAGCATGAGAGCCCCGTGAACAGGCATTTAGCCAGAGGAGCGTCTTAAGTTTTCTGATGCCTTCTTTCAGCTGGCGAGGTCTCAGGATGTATTGAACCTTGGGTTCACCAAGAGGGTTTTTTTTTTTTAACTACGTCAATTCTGTAAACTTCTGTAAACCTTGTAAGCAATGTGAAGGTGTCCAAAGTTATTTTTTTATGAAACAAGAGGAAGACACATTCAGGATAAATTGCACCAGCTTTGATAGAGGAGGTGAGAAGCAATTTCACAGCTTCAGTAGCTGTCGTTGCGTGTTGTTTTCCTCAATCTCTGTAAATTTCACAAACTTCTGAAAGCTTCCTAAATGGAGGCGGGAAATCAATATATAGTAGTTCAAAATGGTTCCTAAACAACATTATCGTTCAGCTCAATAATTGCTGGGACAATTTATCATTCAGCATCATTTGTTATTGTGACAGACCTAAGCATTTTGTCTAAAAGTCTAACAAGGGATGTTTGTGTGCAGTTTTTTTAAAAGGTTTTTTCTGTGTTTTAAATGGTGAGTGAATCCAAGAGCATATCAGTTACACAGTGATATAATNGTGTGTGTGTGTGTGTGTGTGTGTGTGTGTGTGTGTGTGTGTGTGTGTGTGTGTGTGTGTGTGTAGGTTTTGGTGTGCTGATCCCCACAGACGCTTTGAGTGACCTCTGTTTCTTCAGCTCCATTACCCCTCAACAGGGGAAAAGACACAGGCGGTGGTCAGGATTATTCCGTCATGGCACAGCCACCCCTGCGCCGCTCTTCCACAGGTGCAGGCTTCTATACAATAGTTAGTGGACTGACATCACTCCTTCCCTGCTGCACAGCCAAAACTGAAACTGAAACAAGAGATGAGCAGAGTGCACACTTCACAACTGAATCAAGCTGTTCACCGTCTCTTTAGCCATCTAACACATTTTTTTTCTTTTTTTTTTTCAAAGCGCTGCCCTTCCTTCTCCTCTCCTGCTTTCAAACACCCTCCCTTCTTTTTGCCATCCTGCTCTCCCCCCGTTTTTGCTTGCAGACAGAGAATGTGAGATGAGCTAATGCAATACAGAGCCTCACCAAAGGGAAGCTGGGACTTCAACTGCAAAGATCTGATCGATTAGTGCCTGAGGCCAAGTTCCCCTTCTCTCGCTCGCTCTCTCTCTCGCTTGCTAGTGAGCTCAGAGTTTCTTTTTTTTCTCATTTACTCGTACACACACTTACACATTCAGGGACTTAAACTATGCTTGAGGAACTCCTTGCTCACTGTGACGGTAATTTAAGTAAAAAAAATCTTGAAGACTTTTCTCTTCTGAAAGAAATCTAATGAACAACAAAGCAACAGCAAGGAACACACATAACTTGCCTCAACCATCTATGCAAAGAAAACAAGGGTGCAGAGCCAGATATTGACCCACCTATTGCCTGTACACAAAAATTAATGTTGACCATTGGGCATATTTTGATTTTTCAAATTCAGATGTTTTTTTTTTTTGTTTGTTTTAACGTTTTCCATGTCACAGGTAAAACAAAGACAACAAGTTTAGAGATGACTCTTAAGAAACCAAAGTTTTTCTACTTGAAACTTGATCTACTTCATTCTTACATTAAACATAATTTATCCATGTTTGGATATTTTATACTGCAAAACAAGTTTCCATTTTAACAATACATTTCTAAAGAATATAATAATAAATAAAACATATGTTTACCATATTTA